TAGTAGTAGTAGTAGTAGTAGTAGTAGTAGTAGTAGTAGTAGTAGTAGTAGTAGTAGTAGTAGTAGTAGTAGTAGTAGTAGTAGTAGTAGTAGTAGTAGTAGTAGTAGTAGTAGTAGTAGTAGTAGTAGTAGTAGTAGTAGTAGTAGTAGTAGTAGTAGTAGTAGTAGTAGTAGTAGTAGTAATAATAATAATAATAAAGAAAGAGAAGAAGAAGAAGATGATGAGAACTTTGAGATGGAATATTAATGTAACGATTAAACAATGATAATAACAAATGTCAAGGTTAGAGGTTCCACTAATGGTATATCAAACAAGTATAGTATAAACTCTTATTATTGAATTGGAAACCACACACAAAGGAGGTTCCAATCAGATTATATATTGTTAACATGATTACATTAGTCATCTTATTCAATTAATGCTAATACTTGTAAATCTCGTCAAGCATTCATGATTATAACTTATGTTAACAACAAATCAAGTTCCTTTCATAGCTCAGGTGTCGGTTATACCATACATTATGGGCTATGAAAGTGCCAAGCATTTGTTGTACCAAGTGTTATACAACATAAATCAAGATTAGTCATTTAACAAGCAAAGTATTAAAGAGTGAACAAGATAGCAAATATAAAACATGTTAGTATCAAACATTAAAGTCCATATTAAGTTTACATTATACTTATTCTTACACCATTAGTGTAACCTTTTCACCTTGACATAATTAACTTAGCTAGACATAATGAAAGAAAGCAAAATAGATAAACAAAATAAGAACATAAAAGTTAACTAAGTAAAGGAAAGGAAATGAAAGGCATAAACTTAATATTAATGAAAACAAAGCATAAAAAATACAAAGAGAGAAAGGAAGAGCATGATCTTGATCTGGACACCAAGATGCCTAAATGCATGGCAAATGCCTCCTTTTATAGGCCAAAAATGGGAACTATTGATTTGATGACTAATTGATAAGTGGGTGACCAACTTTTGACTTGGTGACAATCCTTATCTTCTCTTGTCTGCCCAAAACGTCATTGATAACGTCAAAACTGGAGCCAGTTGCAAACATGAAAGTTGTAGGCAATTGTCTCAGCTTTCTTGTGTAAACAATTCAGCTCATTTGGACTTCTAGAACTCCAGATATGGCCAAAATACCGAACAGTGCTCGGGCTGGAAGACAGATTCGGTCTTCTTTGTTGTTGCTACAATTTTGACTTGATAATGGCCTTTTTAGATCTTGGGCTCCATATGAAAGTTGTAGGCCTATGTCTTACCTTTCCATCCATATAAATTGGACCTAAATCTGAGATATATAGCTCCAGATATGACCCATTTACCGAACAGTGTTCCGGTTTGGATTGCACCAACATCTTTTTTCTAAGTTTGGCCATCTCTTTATCCTTTCAATTTCAGTTCTTAAATTCATCAATCAATCCTTTCATTTATGTGATAGGCCTGCATTTAAAATAAACATTTACCACAAATTAAAGGTATCTTATATTATTAGATATATTATTATAAAACATGCTTTAGTTAAGGAGTTATTGATACTTTAAGTGCAAAATAATGACATAAAACCTTGATAAAAAAAATGCACTTTTAAGTACTAATCAGAATGCATTATGAATATCAAGTTGATGAATCTTTCAATTACACGATACCGTAATGGAGAAGACTAATCTGACTGTCACTTGTTTAACAACTGGACTGAAAATTTCAGGGTAATCAATGCCTTCTTGCTGAGTAAAGCCTCTAGCAACCAAGTGATTAGTACTTAAAAGTGTATTTTTATCAAGGTTTTATATCATCATTTTGCACTTGAAGTATCAATAACTC